TTATGCTCTAATAAATTTGTTAGTCTCTAAGGTGCCACAAGTATTCCTGTTCTTTTAACTCAGAGTTGTGCCTACTCAACCAAAGTGACATTTGGCCCCCTGATTTTTCTAATCTGAAAAGAACTGGATTTCCTGTCTCTGCACCAAGATAGTGTTAACTTCCCGATATCCCCATCCCCTCTCATTGGGCTGGGAAATGACACACAGGCGCTGTGTGTCTAATCTGCCAGGGGATGCTCTTCTCCCCTCCCCCCCCACTATACCCCACCCCCACTATACCTCGCCTGTTCCCGCCCCTGCCCAGTTCTGACCCCTCCCCACGAGCACTGTGCCCTCACTCCTCCCTCCATTCCCCCCCCCTCAGCGCCTCCAGATGCTGTGAAACAGCTGATCCAGGGGAGGAGCTGATCAGTGGGGCCCGCCAGTGGGTGAGAGGTGCTGAGGGGAGGCGCTGATGGGGGGGCTGCCAGTGGGTGGTCAGCACCCACCTTTTTTTTTTTCCTCCTGTGGATGCTCCAGCCCCGGAGCACCCACGGAGTCGGCACCCATGAAAAGACGGATTGAGACTAGGAATGAAAAGGTGTTGACTTTTTTTCTTTATCCAGTACTTGGGGAAAACTCCCCACTTTGGTGAGTTGGTGATGGCAAGAGGAGAGAGATGGACTCATATAGGGAAATCTGTCTTAACCAACCGCAAAAGGGGCCAACAAACATTGATTGCTTAACAGAGGCGCTTTTCTAATGAAGATATGGACCTGGACTTCTGAGGACGTGAACCCTCGCAACTCCTTTTGAAGTCAATGAGTATTGAAGGCAATTAGCACCTTGCAGAATTGAGCCAATTGTTTCAGGGATGTGTTGGATGATCTCCAGCTAGGTGGTTGCCTAATTGCATCAGCTTCTATTTTCTTTTGTACAGTTTCCACTGTACTCTTAAGCACCTTTTAAAAGGTCAAATAATTTGTTATAAACTTAAACTGCTCAGCGCTAATTAGCTCACTCATCCTTTGTTGCCTGATATCCTCTTCGTTTACTCTAGTCCTATTACAGATGGTGTTTATGTGATTGTCATACAACTGGGGTTAATTCAGGATGAAGTGGAATTTTAATTTGCATTCCTGGTGGTGGTCCCGTGTCAGCACAGATAGCAATAGCACCTTGGGTGCAGAATGGAAACCTGTTAGACCTGCTGAAAGGATTTTCTCCTCCCTTTCTGAATGCTTCATCTGCATATTTAACAAGATGTGTATACTCCACGAGTATGGTGCATTGGGGGCTAGAGCAGATGATCCATCTCTAATTTCTGTGAGACAAATCCTGGCTCTGAGTTACTAGCAGAGATAGTCAAATGCCACAAAATCTTTCCTTTAATTTAAAAATAAGCTCACTTTGGCAATGCTCAGCCCCTTTTGTGTTCACTTTCCATTAACCTTCCAGCAATCAATTTGTTCTTATGCATGTGCTGATGGGGAAATACATTTTAAGCTCTCATATCTGCATAATTTTACCAGAAATGGTATATTTTATATAGGATGGGATACTGGTTAGGGGCACTGCATTTACGGGTCTATAGTTTTCTGTCCTTATCACACTCCTAGACAAAACATAATTGCATCTTCAGCTGGGAATCATAGTAATGTAGATCTGGAAGGCACCTCAAGACAGGTGCCAACTTCCACGGTTCCCGGGGGGGGAGGGGGGAGAGTGCTCAACCCCTACTCCAGCCCTTTCCCCAAACTCCCGCCCTGCCTCTTCCTGCACACGCTCTCTTTCTCTTCCTTGTTTCATCCCCTTCCCCAACCCCGCGCCTCCTGCATGCTGCTGAACAACTGATCACGGTGGGCGGGAGGGATGGGGAGGAGCTCATCTGCAGGGCTGCCGGTGGGTGCTGAGCACCCACTATTTTTTTTTCCGTGGGCACTCCAGGACTTCTGACATATATTCCACAGTCACCCTAGGTTAGGTAACCTTCCAGTGCTAAATTATCCTTTTAGTTAGAAAGTTTTTCCAAATATCAAACCAGTACATCTCTTGCTATAAACTAAGCTGCTTGTTTCTTGTCCTACCCTCAGTGGACACACACAACCATTGATCACCATCCTCTTTTTATAACTATATTTTATGTATTTGAAGGCTGTTACCATGTCTCCCTTCAGCCTTCTCGTCTCTAGGCTAAACATGCAATTCTTTCAACCTTTCCTCCTGGGTCATGTTTTCTAAATCTTTTATCATTTTGGTTGCTCTCCTCTGGACTCTTGCCAATTCGTTCACATCTTTCTGTTAAGTGTGGGAGCCTGAAACTAGACACAATACTCCAGCTGAGGCCTCACCAGTGCTGTGTTGAGTGGAACAATTACCTTCTGTGTCTTGCATTCAATACTCCTGTGAAGGGTGTAGTCAGATTCTTGGGACACACTAGAAGGACAGGCTTCCCTAAAAACTTGCCAGAACCCTGTCTGTCCATTCTAGATCTTTGATATGGCCCTTATTGTGAGATGTACAGATACTGCAGTAATCTTTAATGTACTTATCCTCGCAACACCCTTGTAAAGTAGGGAAGTGCTGTTATCCTCCTTTTACAGATGGGGAAATGAGATGGAGAGAAATTAAATGACAGCCATACAGGCCGTCTGTAGCAGAGCTGGGACTTGAACCTAGCTCTCCCAAGGCTGGTGTCCTACCCGCTGGATGGCATATATTTCCTCTAGAGCCAAGATTTGTCCACATCCATCACCACTAGGAAACATGTAATTACTTGTGCTATAGAGGGAGGCTCTACAGGGCCATGATACAGGTTAATACATCTCTTCTCTATGGAAATTAAAACAATTGATCTTTGTTATATCATTGGGAGCACTTTGCGTCATGACTATGTTCGGGTCTCAAACCCTCAGGCTGTATGGTTTATATGGATGGGATGTGAATGCGATTATTCCCCAAAAAGCTATTTCCTCCTCAGCATCTTACAGCCCATGTGTCTTTTTAGCTGTCTGTGCTACTGAACTTTAAAAGGTGGAAGAAAATGACATCCTGGTGGAAAATTAGTGATGATGGTGTGACATTTAGCCAGGGTACAATCTGTATTGTTGAGCAGCTGTCCTCTTAATTCTCTAGTCTGAGGTGCCTTTTAAACTGCTGTGCTGTCAGAACATCCTCTCCTGGCCTGTTCTCACAGCCTTCAGCATGCAAATTCACCCCCAGCTAAATACACGAGCCCTCTGACCAGTCACTCATGAATTACATACAGGGCAATACCTACACATTCTTAGTCCCAGCCTTGTTCCCCCATAAATGTGTCTTGTACGGTCTAGCACACTACTGAGCAATGTAAGATCATAGATAGTCCATCATTTCAGCAAAGGAAAATGATATGTGCACTAGCAATGTTATCCCAAATGGAGGTACCCTCACACTTTAATTCAAACACGCTGGTTAAGATAAAACAATAAGATAAGTTTATTAACTATAGAAATAGATTTTAAGTGATTACAAATGATGAGGCATAAAAGTCAGGAATGGTTACAAAAGAAAATAAGAGTAAAACGCAGGCTAATATCTTAAGCTAAGTGAATTTAAAAGCAAAGGTTTGGTCTCACCATATGCCTGGGACTCTTCCCGCTTAGTTCAGTTCTTTGAGAGTCAGTGATGTCATGGAGGAGAGGTGAAATGAAGGCCTCTGTCTGTCTGTCTCTCATACCACCCTCCCCTCTTTGAGAATTACCCCCGACTGGGGTGCAAGCAACAAGTAGTCTTTTGCGGATGTGAGGGTTGGACCATCTCTGTGACGAAATGTAAATTTCTTGTCTGCACCTTCCCATTACTTAAGAATGGCTGCTTAAGCCAGTGATAGCTCTTTAACACTTGGCTGGGGCCAGTGAGTTTTTGTCTCTGAAAAACTGGTTTGTGGGTGTTACGCAGAATTATAACATACTTCAGTAACAATTATACAGTAGACTCTTATAACCTCTCATATAGTGTTGCCGCACATACTTTACCAGGACAATAATGTTCAGCAGGGTGATATTTCAAATGATACCTCACAAGGCATACTTTGTACATAATTTATCATAGTCTTGTAAAAGTGGTGAACATAATAATACCGACTATCACAGGTCGGTCCCTTCTTTAAATATTTATTGGGAATGGGCCTGAGAGGCCAGCCATGAAATATGGATCGAGATCTGGATTTGAACTTTCCCATAGTTGAGGGAAGTTGGAATCTGAAGTTCTGGTTTGGAACCGTCTCTAGTACATCCCCTTTGAGATAATAACACGTATACTACTCAGTCAGAACAGAAGTCCTAGTGCACTGCCTTGGTGCTCCTCATGGTAACCAGCCTTCGTGTTACTACTGGAGAACTTTTTTTTTGGTCTGCTGTGATGATATAAGAAAGGGAGTGGTTTTATTAAAAAAACTTGCATTTCTTGCTCAAAATTCTGCAGACCACAGTAGTCTGAGCAGTAATACCAGACAAAAGAGCGATCAGAAGGAAAGTAAGGTTTTTCAAGATTTTTGTTTCCTTTCACCCACTTCATTCCCAAAATACAGCTAACAAGAAGGAAGGTTTAAAGAAACCCTAACTAGCGAATGTTTGTTTTGTGATCAATGTATGAGCTGGTTTTCTAACTATAGACCTGTCTTGCTTTCAGTTCTTGATACACTGTGAGGGCACGAGATTCACAGAGCAGAAGCACCAAATCAGCATGCAGGTTGCTGAAGCCAAAGGCCTGCCTAAACTCAAGTATCATCTGCTGCCCCGGACAAAGGGATTTGCTGTCACCGTGCAAAGTTTGAGAAATGTAGGTAAGGAAAGTCACACAGAGCAAATTCTAAATGATCATTTCAGTCTCCTGCTGTCATCCTGCCTTGTTCTTTTTCCTCTAGAACAGTGGTTCCCAAACTTTAACAACCTCCGAACCCCTTTCACTAAAATGTCAAGTCTCATGAACCCCCTCCTAAAAATGAATACTTCCAGGGATTTTCTCCTTTACCTGAGTATAAAATATAAAAGCAGTGATCTTGGAAATATAAAATTTGTTTTTATGACATGCTTCTTGCACACTATTTATTATTCATTATTATTTATCATTACAGTATTTTATTACATTATGAAAATGGCAACACTCACTTTCGTAGCTTGTATCATTTTGAATAAGCCTGTTCTAAGACAAGGCTCCTATGTTTCATCAAGGAGTATCAGATGTGAAACAAGCATGAAGGTACTTAAGAAGCCAACTCAGAGTTCCTCCTACGCAAGCATTCAGGTCTTGAGCAGTCCAGGCAAACAGTGCACGTTACAGCAAAGCTTAAACTTTTTCTTCATAATAATTTTAAAAACAATACTAGCTGCCTATTTAATTTTAAAAACAGCAAAAAATATCCACCTCCCTTTCTATTTCTTATAAGGAGTCTTGAAGTTTAAATCTCCTCAGTGTGATAGATATGCTTGCTTTGATCTGCTTAGCTCTTGGAAGTCCAAGGGCTCCGGGCTGCTGGCCCCATGGTGCCTGGGGTCCCTAGCTCTGTCCGCCATTAGGGATTTTTTTCCCCGAGAACCCCCTGTAACATTTCGCGAACCCCCAGGGGTTCACGAACCTCAGTTTGGGAACCACTGCTCTAGAATGTGTGTCTGTAAAATTTCACTAGAATCCCTGTTGATCTATATTTCTACCAGCTCACAAAGACTAATGAATCGATTTTAAGAGCCCTTTATGCCGACAAAAATGGCTTCGTTGTGTGGACAGGTGCAAGGTTACTTCGATTTAATGCTGCTAAATTCGACCTAAACTCTTAGTGTAGACCAGGCCTAAGGGATTAGGACTGTACAGCAAAATTCACAGAGGCAGCTCTGCTAACTTGTTTTTGCTTACTCTGGAACTGGTAATCACCGGTCAATGGCCCTGTCCTAAGGGCACAGCTTCAAAAGATCGGGCAGGAAACCCACTTAATGCTTATTGTCCCCAAAGGCCATGCTTGTCTGGCACATTTTAAATATAATTGTTTGAACTATTTACACTTCCAAGTCTCTCATCTGTCTCATCTCCCACTTAGACAAGTGAACATTAGCAAGGTAGCTGTCCAGCCACGCCACAGGGACCCCACTGACTTATTTCCTGGACAGAACATTAGTGACCAAATTTGCATTCCCTTTAACCTGAAGCATTTCCATATCATCATCTTGAGACACCAGGCTCCATTTTAGCAACTAGGCATTCATCTTTTCATTTGATGCAACCAGGTGAGTGGTCAGTATACACCGTGAAATAGCATTTGAAAAGATAGGGCTGCAATTTGCTGAGGGCCTGCACCGTTGCCAAATGTTCTTTTTCAGTTATCACACAGTTTTTCTCTCAGGGAAGCAGTTTCTTGCTCAGATGCACAATGAGGTGTCTCTCCCCCTTTTCATTGCTTTGCATCGGCACAGCCCTAAGCCCTATGCCATAGGTGTTTCTAAAACCCATAAACGATGTGTCAAAGACTGGGCTTACCAGAACAGAGTCTGTACTCGGGGCTTTCTTCAGTTCGCGGAAGGCCTGTTGACAGCGTTCAGATCCTGGTTCACCCTTTTTACATAGATCAGTGATAAGGGCAGTCGGGGTACTAAAGTGAGGAACAAATCTCCTGTAATATCCTGACATCCCAATACAGGATTGTACCTTTTCTTCCTTGTATTGGGAGTGGGTCAATTCTTAATGGCTTCCACTCTTGCAGGTTCCGGTTTTATGCAGCTCATCTCCACTCTGTGGCTGAGACCCCACTTCTGCCATTCCAGCCTTGAATTTCTCTATCTTTACAGTCAGGCCTGCTGTGTGAATGCTGTGAAGCATGCTCCTTACATGGGTCGCATTCTCTTCCAATGTCTGGCTGAAGTTGCAAATATCTATATGTGCCAGGCCAAACTCCCCCATCCCATGTAGTAATTCATCTACCAGCTGCTATAAGGTAGCTAGAGCCCCCTTGAGGTCAAAAGGTAGGACCAGGAACTCGGAGCCTGATTGGGATGGTAAATGCTGATTTAAGGCCTAGCATCTGAGGCCAACGACCCCTGCCAATAACTTTTACTGAGGTCAGTTGTGGTCAGGAGTTGGGGGGGCCCCTCCCAACTTGCACAGAGTCTCATCTGTTCTAGGCATGGGGTATATATCCGATGTTGTGATGATACTGAGCTTTCTGTAATCCCCATAGACTCTGACCCAGGCTTCTTAGGTACCAGTACATTGGGGGATTCCCATGGACTATTTGACCACTGGAGCATCCTAACTCCAGCATATCTGCAATTTCTCTCTCCAGGCTCTGGCCTGTTTTCACAGTAAGCTTGAAGATGAACTTTTAATTGGACAGCAGGCAAGATGTGTGTAGGCTTATTGGAAAATTCCTGGTGATAAGCCTGCAGCTTTGCTCTGATCTCGGCTTGCTATGTGGGGGTTAAGTAATCAGAGAGGGATAAGGAGTCCAGGAAGGGGCTGTCCCCTGTTTCTGCTACCAGATCTATGTGGAGAACCTCTTCTTTCCCCTCCCAGTGCCCCAGGGCTAGATTCTCTCTGCTGTAATATCGTTTTGTCACGTTCACACACACACTCAATGTCAATGGGAGCGATTTAGATAGCTCAGCCACATAGTTTACCTCACTGAGAAGTTTGATTTCAAACAGCCCTTCCCAGGCAGCTTGGAATTTGTTCCTGTGCACTGAAATGAGCACCATAACTTGCTCACCTGTATCATATGCCCAAGCATATGCAGTGTGATTATATCAGACTTTGTCCCGAGCTTTAGCTAGATTCTCCTGGGTGAAACGCATGAGTGTTTCCCAAAAGGCCAACACATACATCACTGTGGGCTCCTTGTCGGGAGAGGCTGTATTTTCCAACTCTTCTCTCATTAGGGCCAGGGGGCCTGGTACTTTCCTCCCATACGGAGAGCAGTTCAAAAGGGGAAGATCTTGTGGATTTCTGGAGAACCTCCTGATAGGCAAACAGCAGCTAAGGTAAACACTTAACCTAGTCACTGGAGTGTGGGTCCACAAACATTTTCAACATTTTAAGGGTTTCTTTAAATATCTCAAACAACCTGTTCATCTGGGGTGGCAGGAAGGTGACCAGAAGTGTTGAATCCCACATCTCATAGCCCTTCATGTAGGACAGATGTAAAGTTTGCCCCCTGATCAGTCAAAACCTCACAAAGAAACCCTACCTGGCTACATATTTCTAGCAAGGCATCAGTCATTTTGTCTGCCTCTATAGAGGACAGTGCTACCACTTCTGGATAGGTTTCAGAGTAGATAGCGGGTAGCGTAAACTACTACTATCAGAATATATTGTTTTCTCCGTCTGGGTAACTTTGCTAAGGGGCCCCCCAATGTCTGCAACAACCCTCTGAAAGGGTTCTTCTGATGGGAATGGGAATTAGGACAGCCTTACCCTTGTCCTGGCCCTTCCATACCCTCTGGCACGGGTCACAGGACTTGCAGTGTTTTTGCACTGCCTCAGAAATCCCAGGCCAGTAGAAATTCTGGAGTAAGCACTTTTTAGTATTCTGTATTCCCAAGTGCCCTGAGAAAGATGTATCATGGGCTAGACTGCGTAGCCTAAATCAGTACCACCAATTATCTCCGTATTCCCCATGGCTCAACATTTCCAGGGGGTATAAACTCCCTGTAGAGTAGCAGCTGATCCCAGAGAAACCTTTCCAGGTGCCCTCCTGTCAGAGGGCTGCCGGGGGAGTCAGCTGCAACCTGAGGGGTAAGTCAATTGTTACTGTTAGAATTCCCTAGCAGGAGCTGGGAGACTCCACTCAACCTGGTCGCTGGAACCCACTTTCCCTCCCTCTGAAGTAAGTTCATCAGCTGGATTCAGCTCAGCCCCAGGGCTTGTATTTAGGTTGCCAGGCAGCAGTTCAGAGCAGCCTGTCAGCTTGCAGCCCAGGGTCAGAGCCAAGGGCTGCTGCTTTCTGTTTTACAAAAGTGGACTTGGGCCAGGATTTTAAGTCATTCCTCAGCAAGACCTCTGTCAGTAGCTGGGTGTGCACCCCAGCATCCTTAGGCCCCTGATTTGGATGGGGGCCCATTATTCCCTGAATGGTCATGACTCTATCAGGGATGATTCCTGAAGGGTCCACCTTGGGGTGTGCCAGAGTTACTTGGGCTCCATTGTACTCAACCACTGGGCCTTTTTCCCATCCAACTCAATGCAAAACTTTTTTGCTTTCCCCTTTTGGGTCTGAAATAATCGGGTTTACTGACTCAGGGCTGGATCTGGGTTTTCCGTTGGTAGGGTCACTGCCACCTGGATCCACTGTAGGCTATCACTAGCCCCTAGTCTCTTCAGCACTGGACAATGTAACATCTTATGACATTTTTTGTTATAGTAAAAGCTTTTCAGATCTCAATGTTCCTTTGTTGGGTCCGATTAGGGTTTGTTTCCCGCACAGGTCTGGGTTTAGCCCATTCTCCTTCTCCATTCAGATTTGTGCCCCTGTCCCTTGAATTTTTTTAATCAAACTTGGGCAGCTATCCGCACATTGCCCACTTCCCGGCTATAGTTACGTCTCTTGTCCTTGTCCATTAACTATGATTTTTAGGTCAGAGGGGCAGAGTTTGTAGAATTCTTCTAAACCCATTAATTTGTAGGCCTCATCTTCCCTGGGAACTACCCGACTAGTTTCCCATTTTCTTACAAAACCCCTAATTTGGTTTGATACCTCAGCTTAGGTCAGATCCCCTTTCTTCTGAACTCCCCAAAACTGTCGTCTTTACATTTCGGGGGTTCACCAAAAAGCTTGTTTACATCACCCATAATCTTTATACA